AACGTGCAGTGTTTGAAAGCATGTAAATGTGATCGATCGGCGTCTAATGTATATTGAGCAAACTGACTAAACAATCTTTACATACAATTTTTTCCTTTAACGTAATCGAAATCGACCTGACGCATTGACAATGGAAAATATCTGATTTGCCACAAAGTAACCACTGAATTATTCTGCTCTAGTTTAAATCATGGTACATATTTTGATCGTTATTGGGCGAGGTGTGAGAAAAACACGCAAAATCCTTGTTTAATTGTAAACAAATACACGAAAATGATTATGTATAGCCTCTATCGAATAAACTATCGTCTTCTTTGGCTGTCGAAAGGAATTTTCGTCTATGGACCCACCAATGACCAATTTGATCTGTTTATTGCAGCAACCCTAAAATATTTACTATACTAAGAAATCAACAATTTTTAAGTAAGCTACCTTATTTATACGTATTTGACCATTCTTGTGTGGTCCCCAATAAGTTGATAATTAGGTATCTTCCTCAAGTGCGATACGAATTTCAGGTATGTCTACCAAAAGGTTTTCGGAATTCCTCGTTTAACAGACTGGTCCTTGTTCCAAAATCAGTGTTTATCTATAAACTGTAATTAGATACCTACATGGCACACATTAGGGATGGGAAACTGTAGATAAAGATAAATTTCCACCACTACTTATGATACATGCAAAAATGGGGCTCGGTACTTAAGTTTATCGCATTAATTACATCGGAAACAAATGGCAGCAGATTTTGAATTAAGTTTGTGAGAGTGAGAGTAAATGGCTACCTAGCTAGGATTTAGTAGTAGTGAATAAATAAATACCCGTACATAACGCATATCTATCCACTTTATTTGTAACACAGTTCAGAGCGTAGCAAAAAATACGGCCATCGATATTTTCTAGAAGGCATCTTCTTTTAGGAGGTGATTCTCAAGCAATCGCAGGATATAAAATTAAAAATTAATTACATTATGCAACTTCCATTTAAAGTGCTGTAGGCATACCTGCTTAGAACGCATTCTCGCGCTTTTTATCCAGAAATCAAAATAACGTAATCCCAGTCTGATATTACGATCATGATCACTTCAAACTGTCCAAGTGGCAAGTTCACTCGTTAAATTTTGCGAAACACGGTTTTATTACGTGGTATCGAGGGGAAGTAACAAATAGAATAGTGCGTTTCATTATTAACATGTAGGTAATTCAACGGAAAAAAATGCCAACGTCGTCGTTTTTCACGAATGTCAGTGTCTTGTTCAGGTTAATAACCCTACTATTACGATAAGTATGCCTAGATTTAACAGAAATTATCTAAAGGGGCGAGGTAGTACCATTATCGAAATCTTCCAAAATGTACCTATAGCTAGGTAATTACGGGATATCCAATAGGTACGTTAAATAGTTATTATCTGTATAGAGCAATTTGCTAATATTAGACTCACTTAAATAAATAAAATTACGTGGAAAGCTAAGGGAAATTGCACATTTTTCTCGGTTTTGCACTTTTAAAAGATAGATAGGTACGTTACATACAAAAAAATTACAGCAATGAAAGCGGAATTCACTAAACAATTGAAAACGTGGAATCTACACTCTTGGAGAAATGCAATCACCTAAAGCTACACCAATATTTGGAGGGAGGAAAGGGTTCGATGAATTGTGTTCTAAGCCGACCCTGATATCTGATTCTTATTGATTTAAGCAGATTCGTACATATCCACTTCGATGAGCATACGCAATGGAATATATCCCCTTCCTTTACGCTATAAAGACATAAGTGGAATTTCTCTGTATGGGATCTTCGACTAGTTCGTTCAAAAATGCGCGCTGTCTCGTCTGAGGTGGAAGTGTTTACAAAAACCATCTCCAAAACGGTACAAATCTTTTAGGAGCAGAGTAATTGATATATTTTAAATGTAACGTGAACCAGAACCAAACCGATAATTTTGTCATTGATAATGAACGATTTATAATTTTATTAACACATCCCTTTGTAAGAGACTTCCTCACACAACCGATTTTTCAAGTTTCGGCACGTAGCTGTACATTTTCGATAGTTGCGGTACTTCTTTTCAAGTCATGCATTTTATTGATAAATATTTGGTAAAAGGAAGCGAAGTTACTGGATCCTAGCAGTTTTAATCGTGAGTTATTACATATTTCACGCTAATCCTCAATCTCGTTCTTTTTCATACAACATGATTGATTAAATTGTCGAATATCTATGGGGGTTATAATTTTATCTGAATCTTTGGTAAATTTCCAGTTAGAAAGTAAAAGCCCAAAGTATCGGTTAAAGTGTATGCTGACCATGTTCCCATTTAATTCCGTGATGGTTATTATCGCCGCCACAAGAGAAGAGCCCTGCGTCATCAATGTACGAATGCATAAATCCAAGGTGTTGATACTTACATCTCAAAAATTTCCGCAACCCAAAAAAGGACAGAGAACGAAACAAGTTCTTGGGATATAATAGACGTGCGCTTTTGAAAAGCTAAATGTAATGAAAAGAGATAACCTATAACGCTTGTCAAGTTTAACATGCATATTTGATGCTGATTTGACCAACGTCGTAATACTCCTAATTATTTTCAAATTTTCCATAACCTCTTTTGCTCTTCGTTTTTGTCATTCTTCTTTTACCTACGTTTTTTTTTTCAACTTTCCTGTTCTTTATTGCATTTTAACAAAAACAACTGAATTGGGATTTGCTGTTGCTCTTTTTAAACCTTTGCGAAACTACGCCATCATGTACATTTTTCAACAACTTTAATATTGATTATTAAGGAACTATTTTGACTTTTGATTTTAAATCTTAAATCACACGCTTGTAGATGATGACGCAGGGCTCTTCTCTTGTGGCGGCGATAATATGTATTAACCAGGTAGCTTGACGTTATAAGTCGTGATCTTAGTTATTCCACGAAAATGGAGGCTAAAAAAAATTAAACGAGCCACTTGCTGGCCATTATAAATTACAAGTTCTTTCCTTGAAAATCAGTTTTTGATGTTTTAAAGCCCTGTATATTTATCATAGTCACCATTCTGGCGTCGAAAGAAAAGCCTGAATATTGGTTTCCAAACGAGTCTTACCACCTTCGTACGATCAACTTTGGATATTTTTAAAATTAAAATGTACGATTTTCACATGTCACATGTTATCTCGTATACGAGACTATCGGTTTCATATCCACATAAGCAAACAGTTTTAGCGGTCATAAAGGTTAACGTGTTAGGTATCGTGTTAGGTTTAGACAACTGTTTTTTGATAACAATGGTAAACAGTATCGCAAACAATGCAGTTATGCTATGAAATCATTCTATTACCTGACATCACTGTGAAAGAGCACTTCCACCATCTTGGATGTTGTTTTTCACGTCATCGGTCACGTGATTGGTATAGACATTATTTTTTAAATTTGCCTTGGGAATCGAACCCCGCGACATCTGAAATAGAAAAATGCTAGCGTGTAAGCAGTTGAGGTACGCAGGGTTTGAGAGATTCTATAGTTAGAGGTTGAAATCTATGGAAAAACTACGTGAATCCAACGCGAACGTGAACCCAACGCGAACGTGAATGCGAACGTTTAACGTGAATCCAACGTGAACGTGAACGCCAACGTGAACGTGAACGCCAACGTGAACGTGAACGCCAACGTGAACGTGAACGCCAACGTGAACGTGAACGCCAACGTGAACGTGAACGCCAACGTGAACGTGAACCCAGCGCGAACGTGAACGCGAACGTGAACGTGAACCCAACACGAACGTGAACCTAACGCGAACGTTAACGTGAACCTAACGTGAACGTGAACCTAACGCGAACGTGAACGCCAACGTGAACATGAACCCAACGCGTACATGAACGTGAACCCAACGCGAACGTGAACGCCATAACATGAACGTTAACGTGAACTCAACGCAAACCTTAACGTGAACCTAACGCGAACGTGAACCTAACGTTAACGTGAACGTTAACCTAACGCGAACGTGAACCCCGAACGTCAACCTAACGTGAACGTTAACATGAACCTAACGCGAACGTGGACCTGTACCCGAACGTGAACATGATTGGAACAGGTAACTGAAGAAGATGTATCAGCTAACAGGTTTTTTATTAGTGTTAGCTGTTACATGTTATCTGTTACCTGTACGATCACAAATCCGCCATCATTGAGACCCAGCCATCGGTACAGTGATAGGAAAGGTGCGGTCTGAAGATGAATTAATGAATAATGTTTTTAACTAATTAATTGAATTTTATACCACATTACAGTAAAGTTACATAGCTATGCATTACAGGTACATATTATTACATCTGCTAAATTTTTTATAAATTTTCGTCTATTCCACCGGATAAACGAGACTTCTTAAAACCGTAAGGATGTGATGAGCCATCTGTAGCAAAACATCTTTTTGTCGAATTTGTACGGTAGACTTTAGTAGTATCGTTTGTTAAAACATTATGTTCAGCCGTTCTTTTCATCAACTTTGACGATACCAGTAAGGGTTCTGCTTTATCACCTTCCAATACCATCCTCTTTATCTGTTCAAAGTTGATGATTTGTGAGTTTTTATAATTAAGGGAAATTCCTTTCACCTTACAAACATTTACATAACAATTTTTGGCCGTGGACCAGAGTTTATAAGCATAATTTTTTGGTCCACCTGACACGAATTCTTCAATATAACTATCAGCACCTTCAGCTTCTAATTCATCTGTTAAGTCGCCCAAAAATTTACCTGTCGGTGGATCAAACTGGCCTTCGGAAGTAATGTAGATTATAGAGTCCGTGTCATAATACAACACACGCTCGCCTATTTCAAAAAATACAGTTACCTATAAGCAATTTTTATGTTAAATTTACTTACCTAATAAATCTAGATACTCATACAGCTTTAACTGTGCCTGCGCAGTGGTGTAAGCGGCAAGTACCACGTTCACTGTCGATAAAGGGGTGTAACTTTCTTCTTTAAATTCCCAGTTTACAAGGAGCGTATCCTCATTTATCGGCTGAACCGAATTAATGTCGACTGAAGGGTTAGTCATGATGTTATAAAATTCTTCTGGTTGTCTAACTATTGTAGTTTTACTTTGGTTCTCGCGCTGACCTAGTTTTCCCCAAAACGAAGTAATAACTGATTTTCCTAATTGTCGGAGTCCTGGATTCTTTTCTATTTTTGAGGGATCCAACCGAACACCTTCGACTTCAAAATATTCTTTAATATATTCATCTTTCTTTTCAGCTGTATTGCACGATGTTGGCCATCCGGAACTTTGCTGTTTAATACACAAAAATTTATTTATGTAATCATTAAACAAACCGCCAGTTTTAGTCTCTCTGTTATACTGTTCTGTGCGGTACTCCCATATTTCGTACGTTTCCAAGATTTTGTATCCCTTTTCGACAGACTTCCTGACTTCATCAATTACCCAGGTACCTGTTAAAGCTCGTTCGTTGTCGTTGTGTTCACATTGTCCTTGATTGAAACTTTCACTGCATGCGCGACAAAGTACAAACATTAATTTGTTATTCATTTTTAAGGGTAACACTGGGTGGAACAATGCTTGTGGTGGTAATATTTTACACTTCATTATTCCCTCTGTGGTATACAGATTTAATTTGCTACACTGCTCAGAAGTATGAACGATAGGATGACCCAGGGGGTATTTTCCATTTTTGTTAATGTACGGATACAGGGATGTAAAATCGACGTATTTTATTTGTTCATTTTGTTCAACTTTATAGAAAGATTTTGCATTTCCGGTTCGGCCACCATAAAATGCGTCTCTCGGATTTAGTGGTGAATGCAACATTAGAGGGTGTGCTTCCGTATAACTTAACATTTCCTCTGTCAGTAGACGTCGGAAATCACACTCCCACATTTCGGTGATGATGTAACCCAACTCCTTCAATCTATGCGATTTTGCTAATGTCTCTGCAGGGTTATCCTTTAGAGGTGCGTTTCTGCTATGTTTGAAGCATTTTGGACAGCCATGGTAATAGCAACCGTGGAACTCGAACACTTCATTAGTTTCGGCACAATAACCGTCGACTTCAACACCACCTATCCTAGCTTCCTTCTTTTTGGCAGAATGTATTATGTTAATTCCTCGAGAGCGCTCCTCTAATAATAGCCATCGTGTAGCAATTACGGATTGATTATCACGAAACCGGTAACCCCCTTTTGGGATAAGTCCTATGGTGTTTGGTTTTAAAAAGTTCCTGCGGAATATTTTATTACAAGCACCAGGTAGCGTAACGCTATCGATAAACGGACAGACATTTCCCTCCTCGATCATTAGCTTCCTCAATTTGAGACACGACTGTGCCAATATATTCACATCCGATATGCAATATTCTACAAGCTCTTTTTTAAAGTCAAAAATGTAGTTTTCAGCTATTCTTTCGGAATACCATTTTATCAACTCTTCCCTTTCAGCTCGAATAAGATTATCCGGCTCGAAAGCTTCTATTGATGGTATAGGACCCACATAGTTTTGGTGCTCAGTCCTGTTAAACAGATGTGGAAAATATCCTTTCTTTAGCTCAGTTAGACCGAAAACTTGCGGCAGTTTTCTTAGCGCCATTTGAAAGTAATTCAGTGAGTCTAGAAATTTGACGTTATCCAATAACATTGTCACCAGCTTTGTTCCCCGCATTATTAACTCCGGTGTGAGATCTGTGTGTGTAATGATGTAGTTTAAAATAAACTGACCGTCAAACCCAGAGGCGTTGTGGGCTATTACTACTATGCTTTTGAATTTCTTCCTCATAGTTAAAATATACCCCATAAAAGTGGCTATTACATTCGCAGTCAATACTTTTTGTCGAAAACCACACTTTTGGCAAAAGTAAAGTTTCTTTTCGTCTATACATTTATCACAGCACTGCATGTAAACACAGAGATTGGGTTGATGCAAGAGGGACCCATCTTCTAATATTTCTTCTTGCATGGTTTCCAAATCGTAAAAAATAAAAAGCGTGTCTTTGATTTTTGGGTAACCTGTATCTATAGGCATGTAGCACAAATGATCTTTATTCACATGGCCGTTGCACGTTTTACAGAAAACTTCTTCGCAGATATGGTTCCTGGTATTGCGATATATAGCAAAACACTTTTCACATCGTTTAATTTTCATGCAGACATTATGTGTCTTGTGATTGTCAAAGCAGTTCTGACCTCGAAAGTCTCTCAAACATTCACCACATCTAATCTTTAACTGTTCTGTGCTACATGTTGGTGACTGTAGACATGCTGGACACGTACCCCCACAACGATGTTGGGTTTTATGTTCAAAGGGTACGTGACATTCTTCACAATAATAACTGCAGCAAAATGCTGCAGTTAACGAGCGGATCACGTTGAAGTGCCCCTCGTGATACAATAAATTGAGGTGTTTACCCGCTTCACTTCCCTCGAACATTACATCACGACCTTTTCTGCTGTAAAGATATACTGTGAGTTTGTAACCTTTCAGATAGCTTTGAAATTTTTGCAGCTCATTTATACTAGCTCCCGTTTCAGGAATACTTATTTTACTATCTTCTAGTAATTGAACGGCTTTTAGTGTTTGTATTTTTCCTATATCACAGCGAATCTTTCTGTATTCAGAAACTTTATCAATAAGAGCCATTGCGACCACTATGGCTCGAGGCAGGCATAACTTATCGTGGTTTTTAATTACCACAATACCGTTCCTCATAGCACACTCCTCACTAAAGTTATTATATTTTCGCCCTCTTCCGGAACCAGCAGGTAACCTCACTGATGTTATACGAAAACAGAAAGTCTCAGTGTTCAAACCACAGGAGTTGGACTGGTAGATGGACGATATAGTATCCCATATATCGTTAATAGTAACTTCGCTAGCCTGCCTGAATCGCAACCATCCCTCACCTTTCTTAAAATCTTTAGAGCAGAAAGAGAAACCGACCATATCCTGAGGTTCCAAATCTTCTACACTCCTATTTACAAGTTGCGAAATCGCATTTCTAACCCAATGTACAGGTTCGGTATCTTTAGGTACCGGTTTTATTTTGAACTCCAATGTGCGACCGCTCAAATTAAATCGACGCACTTTATGGGTAACGTCTTTCACAATGAGAAACTTTTCCATTTCCGCGCACTAAATAACAGTTGTTTCGTGAACAAGATTCACTTGTACTATGAGCTTGTAAACGATCAACTTTAGCACTTATAACCGTTAGGAATGGACTTTGACCGGCATTTAACCTTTGGATTTAGAATAGTGTATAATGAAGTTTGACCGTCGGCAGCCTTTGAACTGCATAGAATGGACTTTGACCGATTTGGACTTTGAACAGCTGCGAATGGACTTTGACCGACTTAGAACAGATGTGAAATGGACGATCAGCAACCTTTGGACTTTGCCCATGGACTTTGGCTGGTCGACTACCTCTATGGACTCTGAACTGCGGAGAATGGAATTTAACCGATTTAGACTTTGACCGACGTAGAACAGGTGTGTAATGGACTTTGACCAGTCAGCAACCTTTGGAATTACCCGATCGGCAACCTTTGGACTTTGAACAGCAGAGGGGACTTTGATACAGACATACGTAGTACCTACCTGAAGTTCGCGTATCGCAGTGGATGAATATAATTGTCAACTTATTGGGGACCAAACAGAAATGTTCCAATACGTATAATTAAGGTAACTTACTGAACAATTGTTTAATTCTTAGTATAGTAATGATTATAGGGTTACCGCAATAAATGGATCAAATTGTGTATTGTTAGGTCCATAAACGAAAACTCATTTTGACAGCCAAAGAAGACGATTATTTATTAGATAGAGGCTACATAAATCATTTGTGTATATTTGTTTACAATTGAACGAAGGTTTTGTGTGTTTTTCTCACAACTCTGTAAATATTGCACCTCAAAATCCTCTGCAATAAATAAACTTTTGATCGTAGTTTATAGAACGAATCGTGAAAGACCAACCAGTTTGAAATTTTGCCGATTCCGTCTTTAGCGAAAAACACATGTACCTAATTGTCGAATTGCGTTTTTTTTTCATTTTTATGTTAACGTACATTCTTAACGGTCCAGAATCGAGAAGGTAATGTATATACGCTTCTTATGTACAACTCACTGGAATAGAATATTACATTACTAAAAAAAATGTGAAATTTCCTTAGTTTTCTCGACCTAAGGTAACATTTTAGACGTATGATACAAATAATACCAATTCACCGTAATTTCCAATACATCTTGTAAGATTTAGATAGTGGCACTACCTTACCTCTTCTCTTTAAACAATTATTGTTAAATCTGTAGGTACATAATTAGTAATACGTGATAGGGTTATTAACCCGAACATACACTGACAGTCGAGAAAAATGCAAGATTTGCTTTTTCTGTAACGAATTGCACTATTCTATTAGTTCCTTCCCCTCGATCCACGCGATAAGACCGTGTTTCGCAAAATTTAAACGAGTGAACCCCCAAGCGGTCATACATTACATATGTTGGGATTACGTTATTTTGATTTCTAGATAAAAGTGCGAGAATACGTTCTAAGCAGGTACCTACCTACACAGCACTTTAAATGGAACTGTAAGTTGCGTAATGTAATTCATTTTTTAATTTCATCATATGCTGCGTTTTGCCCTCGGTTTTGCCGGAGGATTACTTCCTAAAAGAAGATGCATTCTAAAAAATATCAAATTTTTGCTACGCTCTGAACTGTGTTACAAATAAAGTGGATAGATATGCGTTATGTACGGGTATTTATTTATTCACTACTACTAAATCCTAGCTAGGTAGCCATTTACTCTCACTCTCACAAACTTAATTCAAAATCTGCTGCCATTTGTTTCCGATGTAATTAATGCGATAAACTTAAGTACCGAGCCCCATTTTTGCATGTATCATAAGTAGTGGTGGAAATTTATCTTTATCTACAGTTTCCCATCCCTAATGTGTGCCATGTAGGTATCTAATTACAGTTTATAGATAAACACTGATTTTGGAACAAGGACCAGTCTGTTAAACGAGGAATTCCGAAAACCTTTTGGTAGACATACCTGAAATTCGTATCGCACTTGAGGAAGATACCTAATTATCAACTTATTGGGGACCACACAAGAATGGTCAAATACTTACGTATAAATAAGGTAGCTTACTTAAAAATTGTTGATTTCTTAGTATAGTAAATATTTTAGGGTTGCTGCAATAAACAGATCAAATTGGTCATTGGTGGGTCCATAGACGAAAATTCCTTTCGACAGCCAAAGAAGACGATAGTTTATTCGATAGAGGCTATACATAATCATTTTCGTGTATTTGTTTACAATTAAACAAGGATTTTGCGTGTTTTTCTCACACCTCGCCCAATAACGATCAAAATATGTACCATGATTTAAACTAGAGCAGAATAATTCAGTGGTTACTTTGTGGCAAATCAGATATTTTCCATTGTCAATGCGTCAGGTCGATTTCGATTACGTTAAAGGAAAAAATTGTATGTAAAGATTGTTTAGTCAGTTTGCTCAATATACATTAGACGCCGATCGATCACATTTACATGCTTTCAAACACTGCACGTTGAATTTCATACAATATTCTTCCTCAAACTCTGAAAGAAATTTCAATTGTTTTTTAATATCACGCTATTGAACTAGTAAAATCTGTAGGTACTGATTGTTATATACAGGATCCTCGAAAAAAAAGTGTACCCGATGCTGAACCTCGCCCTGAGATTATGCTGCATATATACTGCATAATAAAGCATATTTATTATTATTTATTATTAAGTATTAATGAAGAGTTTTAATCGAAACTAACCGTATAATACAGACAAAATGTTTGGGGTTTCATTATCATCTGACCTTGAAGTTGTAAGTGTGTGAGAGAAGCAATCGCTATAAATACTTAAAACGCAATTAATTTTTCTAGAAGTAAGCATTTTTGCCTGAAATTATTCTCTTTTAATCCAGTAAACATCACATTCGTTTAATGGGTTTCCATATAAGGAAACTTTTAACTTGACCTTGATCTCACACCTGAATATCATCATCACCTTGACACGCAACGTTTAAAGGGTGAGTAACCTGTGTGGATTTTGATCGGTAACTGGACTTGAATGGTTGGGGATGGACTTTGACCGTTCGGCAACCTTTAGACTTTATACGAATCCTTAGACTTTGACCGGAAACCTACTTTTAGATTTTATACGGCGGGAATGGACTTTGTCTGACAACCTTTAGACTTACATCAGCGTTTGACCAGTCAGCAACTTCTGGCTTTTGAACAGCAGAGAAAAGACCTTTGGCCGGTCCGTAATCTATGGACTTTGATCGATTTGGACTTTAAACAGTGGTGATTTTGATCGATAGCTTGATCTACTTTCCAAAAGACCAGCGGAAATAACGTCATAATACAGACAAAATATTGGTTATAATCGTCATTGATCTGACCTTGAAGTGTGCGCACAGCCGTGACTAGTGTACAGTGACATCGCGTTGTATATCCTAATAATCTGTCCTTGAACTCACCTGTAGCTTATTTAAACGATTAAATGATTAAATGTAAAATTTACGCCGCAACTTTGATCGATAGCTTGGCCTACTTTTCCGATGGAATTTGACCGGTCAGCAACCTTTAGGTTTTGAACAGCGGGGAATGGACTTTGCCCCGAGCGTGCGCATGCATCATTTTAACACACGACCTTAATCAGTTAGTTGGACTTTGAACGATTTGGAACAGGTATGTAATCGAATTTGATCGGTCAGCAACCTTTGAAACAACGGAGAATGGACTTTGAACAGTGTGGACTTTGATCGGCAACTTGCCCTACTTTGATCTGACCTTGAAATGTGCGCATGCGTCATTTTAACGCACAACCAAGTCCTATCAGTCTTCTTCCAGATCGTGGTGAGTGTACACGCGAAGTGATATGTGTCTTGTGCAATGACGTGTTTGTGAACCTGTACGGATTATCGCCTTGATGACTGTGGAGCAAATTAAGGTAAGTAAGAGTAAAATTAAATCTTCCCGGACCAATTGACAAAATACCCCCCCAGTGGGGCCAACTCCCGAAATACCCCGGGTCACAACCCAGGACCAACTACCGAAATACCACCAATTGCCAAAATTTGACCTTACACCCCGGACCAATTGCCAAAATTTGACCTTGCACCCCGGGCCAATTGCCAAATTGGACTTCGACCCCCTGGGCCAATTGCCAAATTTGATCTTGCAGCCCCCCCGGGAACGATTGCCAAAATTTCACCCCCCGGGCCAATTGCCGAAATTTGAACTGGGCCAGTTGCCGAAATTTGACCCGGACCAATTGCCGAAATTTGACCCCCGGGCCAATTGCCGAAATTTGGACCCGACCAACTGCCGAAATTTGACCCGGGCCAACTGCCCAAAAATATGGCCCGGGCCAACTGCCAAAATTTGGCCCGGGCCAACTGCCAAAATTTGGCCCGGGCCAACTGCCGAAATTTGCCGAAATATTTTCCCACGGTCCCCAGAATTTTCCCACACTCGGGTACCGCTATACCTACTCCCAATTTCTATTCATTTCACCTGCCTGAAAAACCCTGTTTCGCCCGATAACTAATTTTTTCTCGAATTTTTTTGTCAAAAAATATTATATGTACCTATAGCCTGGATTCTAGCGCAATCTTTCTTTAGCCGGAAATTTAAAATGGCCCAAATTCGCAACGCCCAGTAACGTCCATCAAGCCTTGATCAGTTTTCTGACGGACGAAACAATTATTCTCGAAGCGTCCTCCATAAGTTTAAACCGAGGCTGCCCACAGGGTTCCTGTCTCGGGCCAATTATCTGACTTGTCCTAATTGAAAGTTGGTTGGGCACGATGAGGAAGATGCCAAACCCTGCGAAATTACTACAATCGTATTCACGGATGACCAACTGTTAATTATCGCCGGCCCATCAGTTAAGATAAACGAGAGTAAGTGGCAAGAGGACTTTTTATTGCATTTTTGCTGTTTCCACGTTCGCGCAAATCATACGTTAAAATTGACATCATCTTTCTAGGCAGCTTTGAAAAGTAACTCGAGAAGTCCAAATCGCATATCTCCGTAAAACATCGAAATCAAGCAATTTGAAACACCCTG